GATAGAAGAGTGCAGTCATTTATGTATTTTATAAATGCTGATGATGAGTAGCAATGCATTAGTTTATAAACTTTTAATACTGAGCTAATAAATTTAAAGACACCTTTGGGAACCTCTCCAATTTGATGTTGGTGGTTCAGTCCCTGTCTGCTCCAGTCTGTGTGCCAAATGTCCTTGGGCACATACTAACCACAAGTTGCTCTCTGATGTATCCATTGGAATATGAATGAGTGTGATAGTTAGATATGAAGCACTTACGTAGAAAAAAGTGCTTGTATAAAGTGTGTGAATGGAATATGAAACTGATTATTAATGAAAGTGTGAATATAAAGCACTTTGAGTACTCAGAGTAGAAAAGTGCTATATAAGAACCAGTCAATTTGCCATTATTTTTTACATTTTTTTTGGAGATTTGGAGATATTAAGAGTTCAGCTTCCACACAGGCTGTAATATTTTACAAACAAGGAAGTGGCATATTCAAACAACTGTGCAGAAATAGATGCTCTTTAGGGAAAAATCGACAACACCATTAAATATGATGCAAATAATAATGAATGTACAGGGTGCGACATTACCAATAAGTTTGATGTGTCACATGGCCCTCTTCCTATTGAAAAAACAAAAGTTATATCCAAGATGGCCGACTTCTAAATGACCACCGTGGTCACCACCCATCTTGAGGAGTTCGCCCCCTCACATATACTAATGTGCCACAAACAGGACTTTAATATCACCAACCATTCCCATGTTATTACGGTGTATCCATATAAATGGCCCACCCTGTATTTCAGAATAGACAAAGCTAACATAAATCTTTCCTGTGTAAACCAACTGATGAATTTGTGTCATATTGTAGATTATTTTAGGATCCCCATATGAAGTGTATGATCGATTACTGGTTGGCCTGAGTGTGGAGGACAAGAGCATATCAGGACTACAGCAGCGTGTCAACATCACCATCAACCTTACCAAGGAAATAAATGTAAATGCTTCTGAATTTTATCATTTACTCTACTTTTGCCTGTTAACATTATATTATTGAATATATTTTATATTTTGTTCAACAAATTCTCAAAAATTAGGTATGTATAGTAAAAGCATGTAAACGTGTAATATTTCTGTGACACAGGAAACCCAGAAACCCTCGTGCCACTTCTTTAACTTCACAACACGCAGTGAGTAACCAAGCTTCACATCAACATTAGTGTCTATCACAAATCTTTATTTTATAAACCGGAGTCATTGTTGTTTGTGTGTTTTTTCAAGATTACAATGGTGAGCTGATCTGACTTGGATGTAAAAGCATCGTATGCATAACTTATCTCTTTGTTTGACTTATCAGATTTTAGTGAGAATGGCTGCATTACCCTATGGACACGTGGTCAGAATAATGTCACCTGTTCCTGTGACCATCTCACATACTTTGCTGTGCTCATGGTAGGAGTGAACTTTTTCATCTTAAAAAGTGGAATTTGGGAGTTGA